AAAAAAAAAAAAAAAAAAAAACAAAGAAAAGAAAGGAAACAAAAGCAGTCTCTAATGGTCTGCTATGAAATGAAAAGGCAAGCTACTGAGAGGAAATATTTGCAAAACGTATCTAAAACAAATAACCCAATTAAAAATGGGCAAAAGAAGTGAACAGACACTTCACTCAAGAAGATGATAAGCACATAAAAAGATACTCACTCATCAACAGCAATAAGGAAAATGAGATTAAAATCATAAATTCGATACCAACATACACTTACCAGAATAACTAAAATTATAGACTGACCATACCAACTGTTGGTGAGGACAAGAAGTAATTGTTAAGTCTCATACATTGTTAGGGGAATGAAAAAGAGTACAACCATTTAGAAAACAACTTGGCAGTTTCTTAAAAAGTTAGTGCCTGCTATATCAACCAGGCATTCCACTCCTAGATATTTACTCAAGGAAGGAAACAGCTTGAATTCACATGAAGATTTGTTTACCAATATTCATAGCAGTTTTACTTCCAAAAGTCAGAAACTGAAGGTAGTTGAATGCGTGGCTCATACCTGAGGTCCTGGTTACTCAGAAGGCTGAGATCGGGAGGATCTTAGTCCAAGGCCAGCTTAGGCAAAAAGTTAGCAAGATCCTATCTCAACCAATAACTGGGCATGGTGCCATGCATCAATCATCCCAGCTACTTAGGAAGCACAAATAGTAGGACCAAGAGCCAGGGTAGCCCCGACAAAAACGTTAAGACCCTATCCCAAAAAAATAATTAAAGCAAAAATGGCTAGGGGGTGTGGCTCAAATGGTAGAGCATCTGCTTAGTAAGTGTCAGGCTCTGAGTTCAACCCCCAGCACCACTAAAAACTAACTAAATAATAAACGAAGACAACCCCAAAGGACCATCAACAGGTGACAGAATGAGTAATCATGGTATAGCCATACAATGGAATCTATTCAACAATAAAAAGACGCAAACTATTGATACACACAAGAAGAATATGGATGACAAACTATTGATACATACAAGAAGGGTATAGATGATTCTCAAAATAGTTATGCTGAGAAAGAAACCAGACCAAAAAAGAATACAAACTATACAATTCCATTTATATGGAAAATGCAAACTAATGCAGACTGACAAAAGTCTTATCAATGGTTGCCTGCAGATAGGATGCAAAAGCATGGATTACAAAGGGATCCAAGAAAAGTTTTAAGGATGATAGGTATGTTCCTTGATTGCATGATGATTTCATGAGTGTATACATCTAACAAAATTCATGAAACTATAAACCTCAAATGTCAAAATGTATTGTATATCAATTATATCTCAATTAATTAGTAAGGCAATTCAAAAAATCTGTAAGTATAAAAGGTTTTTAAAAAGAAAAACTAATGATGATGATAGCAACAGCTACTCATTACAGAATGCTTACTGTGTATTGCACCCTTTTTTTATTTTAAGCACTTTGCACTATTTAAACCTCAATACCAAATGGAATAGGTAGTTTTTTTACCCCTATTTTACAAATAAGGAAATAGAAGTACAAAGTCATTAAGTAATTTGCCAAAGGTTACACTATTTGTAAGATGTGGAATCAGAATTCAAACCACAGTAATCTGGATGGGGTTTTATAACGGTTTATTTTTGAGATATAGAGAATTTTTGTGTTTGAAACACTTGTGAGACATGTGCACGTGCTAAAAGTGTTTTCATCAATCAGGACATCACATTTCATATCCAGAGGTGAATACACTATCTTATAATAATTCAAAAAGTATAAAGAGGTTTAAGTGTAAATTACATTTCTCCCCAACCCCTATCTACAGTCCACCTCCTTAACTGCTACATCTTGACAGATCCCTAAATCAAACAGTTATTAGCTTTTCATTTAAAGTAACACAGTTGGGCTGGAGGTGTGGCTCAAGTGGTACAGCACCTGCCTACCAAGCACCAGGCTCTAAGTTCAAGCCCAGTACATCCAAAAGTAAACAAATAAAGTACCACAACTGCTAGTTACAATGAAGGCATTAGAAAGTAAGTCCAACTGGCTCACATAACAAGATAGTGTACATCAAGAGTCTACTTCACAAAAATTCCTCTCTTCAGTTCTCTAAGAGCTTCAAAATGTCTCCAGTGATTTTTATTTCAGGAAGGGGATATAAACATATATTTTCAAAAGTAAAACTGTCACTCCTCCTTCAAGAAAATAAGCAAATCTACTTATGACAGAATAATAATAAAAGAGAGAAAAAGGAATTACCCACAGGAAAGTAAGGAGTGTGATATCAAAGAAGATAACATGTACCTGAATCACTATATATTTTAATAGTGCTTCAAGAAAATAGCTTGTGAGATCTTCTTGTCCTTTATCTCCTGACTGTGGAGGAACAAGAGGAGTGATTTCCTCAATAGTGACTTGAGCTACCCAAAGACAAAAAATAGTGTAATTATAAAACAAATTCAGTAATAAAATATGACCAAATAAAATTTAACTGCAAACATGAATGCATTAAAACTGCTTGAAATTTTTTTAATGACTGAGTCTTGAAATAAACCTGAGGTCATGCTGGCAGTCCATTATACAACAACCATGAAGTTTTCTGAACCCTTGATTGAGAGAATGTGATAAAGGGATGACCAGATATGCAGTATTAAGAATGCATGACAATTCATTAAAGAACTTCTAATAATTTTAAATTCACATTAGTAGTGTCCATTACAAAAGTCACAACATGATAAGAAACATTGACAATAATGTGCTTATTCATGAAAGCACGTTTCTAAGAAACTTTTATATTTACTTTTCAGATTTTAAAAAATTCATTATAACAAATGCAACTGCAAGAAAATAAATCCATAACTAGCTGAATTCTTCCAAATATCTCCTAAGCAGCATATCAGCACCTGATTTAATACATGCATGCTTCAAAAACTGTCAAGAAAATATTAGCCAAGTACATAAACTCATAACAGAGGTGTATTGCAATTCTAAAATACAGTACATTATTTCTAACACTCATTTTTAAAAATTACTCTTCAAGCCCTGCAGAATAAACAGAAAAATTTCTATTCTCAAAAAGGGAGAGGAAAAGAATGAGTCACAAATAGATTTGAAAGCAATTTTTTAACAAGCAGTCATAAAAATACTAATGAGAGGAAACCTATACTGATAGTATTACAGAAAAAAATACTTATAAACACCTGTTAAATACTTCAAAATGACATATAATATAAATAAGCAGGCATAAGTAGCCTACATGAGCTGGTTTATTTACTGATCTTAAGCCAGCTTTTTACTATTTCTAAAATTTTATGCTATATGTGTAGTTTATTTTACTACCAAAGTCTGTAATTTACAGAAATATCAATTATAAGAAATATCCAACAGAGTACTTGAATTGTGTACCCCCAAAATTCATATGTTGAAACCCTAACAACTGTATTTGCAGATAGAGCATGTAGGGAGATAATTCAGGTTATAATGAGGTCAGAAGAGTGATGCCCTAATTGGGTAGGAATAGTATTCTAATAAAAGCAGAGACACCAGAGGGCTCACTGTCTTGTGTGTGCATGCGTGCAAGTGCACAGAGGAAAGGCCATGTGAGGATGCAGAGAGAAGGCGTAGTCTGTAAGCTGAGAAACCTTACCAGAAACTAAGCTTGTCAACTTACTGCCTCCACAACCATGAGAAAATAAGCTTCTATTGTTGAAGCTACCCAGCTTGTGCATTTTGTTATTGTAGTATTTTATGTGACACAAGTGCTTGCTAGTGAAACAATACATAATATATACATATATGTATATGTATGGGGGGAAGGAGAGCTAAAGTAGTAAAAAAAAATTACATTAGAAAATCAGAGTAAAAAGACAAAGATTCACTAACAAATGAAGACAAAAGTTTAATAACATTTCTGAAATTATAAATTAAATTAAAAATAAAAATACTATTGGGGATTTACAAAAATTCAATTTATTTGTAACATTTTCAGTCATCTATTCCACAAAGTAAAACATGCTTGTAATCCCATGCACACTGAAATTAACTCTAGTATACAAGGTGATATACAAGAAATAGAAATTAAAGATAAATATAAGATGGTCTATATCAACCATATGTTTCCAATGCTTTGACATCTGGAGCCTTACCAACTGCAGAGAATGTCCCTCCCCAGGCTAACCATTTCAGAGAGGTAAAAAATGACTAGACTGTGATAGTGCCTTTCATATGCAAAGCAACTGAGCCCATCTCCCCACCAACTCAACTCCTCTAGACTCAGACTCAAGGTCACTACTCCCCTGTCCTAATCACCCAAGGGCCATGAACCAAGCAACTAGTGAAAACCTTTAAATCCTAGAACCCACTGAAATTATTCAAACTAGTTAATCTTAAACTTGGTTCTCTGGTTTGCCTGTTTCTTTCAATGGAAATCACCATAAAGGCTCTCTCACCCAGATACTTTTCCACGTAGCCTCCATGGCATGGGATGCCCTTTTCCTCTTGGAAACTGAATAACAAATTGTTTCCAACAACCATCTTGCTCTGTTGGCCTCAACATACGAAAATACTACTAAAATCCACATCTAAAAACAATGCTTTACCCATTTAGTAAGTGTGAAATATTTTTTAAAAAATACATTAAGAAACTATACAGAAAACTTCAAACTACTGATAAGTAATATCTCATGAATCTTACTTTCTTGAAGGTTGAGTGGAGGATTAATAAGATTATCTAAAGTTCGAAGTCCATGTTCAGATTGTGGTGATGAAAATCCAGGAATTAAGCATGAAAACATCCAGAGCTGTTCTTTGCTACAGTTATTTTGAAGAGCTTGCAACCACAGTAAGAAAAGACGAATACCTTCCCGCCTAATCTAAAATAAAATGAAAAACAGTATTTTTATTTTAATGCAAATACATTCTTCCTCTTTTATTTTATTTTTATTTTTTTGATGGGACTGGAATTTGAACTCAGGGCTTTGTACTTGCAAAGCAAGTACTCTACCACTTTAGCCACATCTCCAGTCCATTTTGCTATAGTTATTTTGGAGATGGGGTCTTGTGAACTATTGTCTGGGCTGGCCTCAAACTGAAAGCCTACCAAGTAACTAAGATTACATGTGTGAGTCATCTGCATGTGGCCTTTTTTCTAGGTCTCCAGACAATTACACGACACTTTGCAAAAAAAAAACAGAAAGGGGAGAGGAGAGCGAAATAGATATTATCTAAATTCATGAACTTTTAACAAGAATAAACTTGGTCTCTAACTATTTAAAGCCTCTAAGTAATTTTTATTTTGTAATTTCTATTTGTGAAAAATCAGAGAACCATTTCCTGTCTACCACCCTTCTTCTCTTCCTGTGTTCACTACCAGTCCAATCCAAGAAGCAAGAAGAGACAAGGCAATGACTGTTCCTTGCTACAATGAGTTTGGTAAAGGATGAATGGTTACAAAGATCTTGGTAAGAAGTGAACTCAGTGCTTCTGTCCCTAAAAAATTCTGAAATTTTTAAAATTATAAAATTAAATTGTTAAAAGTAAACTTATTTAGATACTACTAATATAAAAATTATTTGTAAAGGTCTTTGAAATTATCTCATTTACTTAGTTGCTTCTTATCTGCAAATCAGGAACTTTGGCCTATTATTTTATTTGAGCACATAAAACAATACCTATACATAAAGACAATAAATAGTTGAATCAATGAATGAATGCTCTCCTAGTAAGATAGCAGGACAAGAGAGAGAGGAAAATTCAATTTCTGACAAGTAAAACAGCAAGTTCTTCACTAACTTAACTTCATTAGTAGCTTTGGAAATTACCCTATAAGAGCCCTAATAATGTCAAAGCTATTCAAACACTGGCTTTCCTGGTTTTTCCAGATAATAAGAGAAAGGTGCAAGGTTTATTCCTTTGTATACTGTTATACCCAAGCAAAACTATTTATAATATGTACCTTTACCTAACCTATAGCAAGATGCTTTTGGAACAGGCAGCTTCCCTTATAACACAATTGAGTTAATGAAAAATAAAATGAAATCAGTATTTTATATATATAAATATAACAGATATTTTATATATAAATATAGTATCATAGATATTTATATATAATATAACTCCCCTACCTTTCTCCACATCTAAAAATAGCTAGGTTAAATGAAGAATAATTTGTTGAATAATAATAATTTTTCTTCTGGTTACCACATAGGGGAAAAATTTCATGGGCAATGAGCCAATGCAGTGACAAAATATAATCATTTTTCAATGCCCTGGACAAACTAATATGTATTTTACAGAGAAGACAATTCAACAATCTTCAGGAAAAAAGCTGGGGTAGAAAAAGTACAACAGGTGCCATTATGCTTTACTCAGTTTTTAAAATAATAATTATATTATACCTTTAAGGAGTTTCCTGTGTGAAGTAGTTTCTTTAAAATCAATCCTGAAAAGAAAACACGATGTCAGATATTTAAATCTTCCAACATATTTCTAAATGTCACAGTTCTCGGTCAGACTTGGAAACACTTTTAATCAAGTCTTTGGCAACCTCTAAAGTACTCTTGGTGACTTTGATATCCCTCTCGTCAAACTTGAGACCAGAAGGGCCTATTTCTAAAAATCATCTTCTCAGCATAAACAATTACACACGATTTACTTTATTAACAAAACCTTGGCCCAAAATTATACAATAATCTATAATATATCTCTTATTTACACTAAGAATGCAATTATTTTATCAATACAAAAAAATCCACTCAAGAAAATTTTCACTTAGTTAACAAATAAACATCCATAGTCTAACATTTCCTAACAAGTATATCTATAATTTTTAAGTTTCAAAAATTTTCAATATTTCTTCCTTAAGTTAGGAAATATTCTAATCCTACAATAAAATACTAAAAATAGCACTAACAAATACCCAGAAGCCCACCATTCAGTTACAACAAATTTAAACACAGTTCTATACTTGTTACAATTTTAAATTTTCATTTATTTACATTATCTTTAATGTTTTACCTAACCATAAGTAAATCATTTTCTTCCTATCTTTCCCAAAGGGGACCATTTCTATATATTGGTATTAACAATTTCCAAAAATATTTTTAAACTATTACTACTTATTTATAAATCCATAAAAAACTTAGAATCAGTTTAAGAGCTAATATAAATGGTGTCACAAATAACAATTTATTTATAAGTTGCTTTTCATATCTAACATTGCTTTTTCAATTTGTCTATGCTCTTCTATATAGTTATAGTTAATTAATTTTTAACTAGTGTACACTAACCCACAATGTAGATATACCAAAAATCATCTTTTAATATTAGGATATTCCATTTATTTTCAATTTTTTTGGTGGTACTGAGTTTTGAACTCAGAGCCCTCACTTGTTAGGCAGATGTTCTACCACTTGATCCACACCTCCTGGTATTTTTTTTTTCTTGTTACTATTACCAAAAATTCTATAATAAATGTCCTTATTCATAAATCCCTGAACACATGTGGTTTTTCTCTGATGTGTTCAAATAATAATGAAATGATCTGCCTACTCACTTTCAACTTTACCAAATACTGGAAAATTCTTAATAGTCCTGGCAGTGTGTGAGAGTGCTCTGGAATATCACACTGCTGGCAGCATGACACACTGAGAGATATGCTAACATCTGATGTCTGTTGACTGTTAAATCTTTAATGTTTTGTAGTGACATCATCTTTTCCTTTGGCCATTTGAGTTTCTGCCAAATGACTGTCCTGTCCTTTGTACATTTTTCAATTGGGTCGTCACTTTTTGTTTTTTAGATGAAGAATTCCTTACACATTCTGGCTACTAATTCTATGTCAATTCTATGAATTGGAAATATCTTTCCTCAAACAAATAAGGCATGTTTGTTTTGTGGGAATGGATATTTTCTGATGTGCAAGTTTCATATTTTATTATAGTCAATTCACTAATGTTTTTCTTTCAATGTATACTTTCTATCCATAAAGAAATCCAACCTTAGGATTACAAAATAAATCAAATATTCACTTCAAAACATTTTAGTGTTGCCTTTTACATTTAAGTCTGGAAATCCAGAAGAAATTTATTTCTGTGGGTGAGAGGAATGGAATTTCTTTGGTTCCAAATGGATAACCAGTTATAGCACTAACTCTTTCAGGGTTTATGAAGATCAAATAAAATGAAATGCCACCTCAATATTTCAAGATTCCATATATAAGCCTAAGTGACTGACTTCAAATTCCTTTTGAAGTTCAAAACCCAGTACGAAAAAAGTCTTGATAATAGTAGCTTTAGAAAAATTAAAATCATCCCAAGTGTTGTTTTATGACCACAAAGGAATTAAATTAGAAATCACAAAAGAAAGAAATGTGTATAAACAACAAAAAATTGGGAAAAAAACATGCCATGCACAGTGGTACTTATCAGTAGTCCTAGCTACTCAAGAGTCTGAAGCAGGAGAATTCCAAATTCAAGGCCAACCTAGGCAACGTATAAAAACCCTGTTCCCCAAAGGTTTTTTAATTAAAAAAAAATAATAAAATAAAAACATTCTTAAATAAGTTACAAGTCAAGGAAGAAACTAAAATCAACACTTAAAACTATTTTCACTAGGCATGGTTGTGTATACCTATAATCCTAACACTTAGGAGACCGTGGCAGGAAAACTGCAACTCCAAGGCCAGCCTAGACTACATAACAAGACTTTGTCTCACAAAACAAAAACACAAGTTCTGCCACAAAACAAAAAACTAAAACAAAACAAAACACAAAGTATTTTCACGTGAATAAAAAACAGAAACTAATTAAAATTTATAAGATAGAGGTGGAGTGGCTCAAGCAGTAGAAGCACCTGCCCAGCATATGTGAGCCCCTGAGTTCAAACTCCAGTGCAGCAAAAGAAAAATTTTTTTAAAAAGAGAAAAATCAATGACACCAAAAGTTAGTTTGAAAAATCAACAAATATTACAAATGTTTAGTTAGATTGGTCAATAAATTTAAGACACACACACACACACACACACACACACACACACACATATTACCACAATCAGGAATAAAAGACGTCACTACTGACCCTACTAGATTTAAAAGAATTATTATAAATGGGTAATTTGAACAAACTTACATCAACAAATTAGATAACTTAAATGGACAAATTCCTAGAAAGATAAAAATAAAAACTTACTCAAGGAGAAATATAAAATCTGAATAAACCTATAAAAAAATTAAGAAGCTGAAATAATAAACAATTCTCACAAAGAAAAGCCTAGATCCAAATGACTTCACTTTTAAATTTTATCAAATATTTAAAGAATATCACCACTCATTCATAAGCTCTTTCAGAAAATACAAGGGGAGACATCAGTTTCCAATTTATCTAAGGCAAGGGTTATCTTGATACTAAAGTTAGATAATAACATGACTAGAATAGTACAGAGCAATATTCCTCAAAAAAACAGAAGAAAAAATCTTTTAAGAGATTATTAGCATGATTTAGCAACATATAAAAAGGACTTTAAAGGCTAATCAAGTGGGATTTACCTCAGGGACTCAAAGGTAGTTTAACATTTGGAATTCAATTAGTGAAATAATATTTATTGAACAAACGACAAAACCACTGGTGATATTGACAGTAATCATATCAATAGCTAAAGAAAAAGCATTTAACAAGAAGCAATGATCATGATAAAAAAAAACTCTCAACTAACTAGAAATAGAAGAAAGGACAGAAAGATAAAACAAGTTCTTTCCAAGGAAGGGTACCAGTGGGAGGGTATAAGGGTGAAGGAGGGTGAATATGATGGATGTATTTTGTATTCATATATGAAAACAGAGTAATGAAACCTGTTGAAATTGTTCTAAGAAGGGGGTAGGGAGGATGAGGGAGAATGATGAAGGGGTGAATCTAATTAAGATATATTGTAAACACATATGTAAATGTCACAATGTATCCCTCTAACAACTATTATACGCTAATTGAAAAAAAGAAAAGCAACAAACCAAACCAAACTAGGAATAGAAGAAAACTTCCTTGAGCTGGGGATGTGGCCTAAATGATAGAAAACTTGCACTTGCCTAGCAAGTGTGAGTCCCTGACTTCAAATCCTAGTGGGGGGTGGGGAGGAAGGAGAGAGAGAGACAGAAAGAGAGAGAGAGAGAGAGAGAGAGAGGGAGGAACTTCCTCCACTTGACAAAGAGCATCTATAAAAAAATGAAGAAAAATAAGAAGAGAAAGGGGGAAAAAGGGAGGAAGTGGGAGAAGAGGAAAAAGAAGAAGAAAAGGAGGAGGTAGGGAGGAAGAAATTATATCTCAATAAAGCTGTTTAAAAATAAAAACAACTACATTCACTGATTTCTATTCCTTTATTAACAAGACAAAAAAAGAAACAACAGTTGGAGGATTCTTCTCAGTGACAAAGAAAAGTGACCATTTATAAATTTTCTCAACTCACTGATAATTTTGGAATACTATTAACTATGACAAGTAGGTAACCTAATGGTCCTTTAGAGATTAAAGGCTACATTCCTCAAGAAATACAAAATACATCTTTGAAGTTCAGCTATCTCAAAAAACACCTTTCTCACTGAGATTCTTCATGGATATTTTTATGATTATGACATTCAAAATAAGATTTCAGTATTCTACTCAGCACCTTATCATGTGCTCAACAGCAATTCATGTCTTCTTTGGTGTAATGTCTATTTAAATCTTTTGCCTACTTGAAAAATTGACTTGTGGGTTTTTGTTTTTTTCTTTTTTTGCAATACTGGAATTTGAATTCAGGGCCTTGCATTTCTTAGGCAGCCATTCTACCGTTTGAGCCATGTCTCTAGCCTTTTTGCTCTGGTTATTTTGAAGATAGTGTCCAAGCTGACTTAGAATGTAATCTCCCTATTTTGTACTTCTTTCCATTACTGGAATGACAGGTATGAGCCACCATGTCCAGCTTTTTTCCAGAGATGGAGTCTCAAACTTTTTTTGCCCAAGCTGGCCCGGAACTATGATCCTCCCAATCTCAGCCTTCCAGGTAGCTGGGATGCTGAGATGAATGTCACCGCACCTAGCTATTGGTTGAGATGGGATTTCCAAACTCCCTGACCTGGTTGGCTTAGGAATGGAATCTTTCCCATCTCAGCCTCCCAAATAACTAGGATGACAGGTGTGAGCCACCATTGCCCACCTAAAAGTTCTTTATGTGTTATGGGACATCATTTTTAGTCTCTCTCTCTCTCTTTTTTTTTTTTTTTTTTTGGTATTGCTAGGATCTAACCAAAGGCTACATACATGCTAGGCAAGCACTCTACCACTGAGCTAAAACCTCAGACCAAGTCTCAAAGTTCATCTAAAACATTTATTCTAAAAAGCTTTACTATTTAAGATTTTGTCTTTTATAGCCATTTGCATCAATGTCCCCTTTCTGTCCAGAATTCCTTCTTTTACTGGAAGTACTAATTGGGATGGCCTACAGTTTTAAAGCCTCATAAAACATTTCATTTGCTGGAACTGATAAAGAAATGTAGGGCCTAAATAAATCTATGACTCCCTTTTTAAAAAGAAACAAATACAATTTTACAAATGAATATAAGGTCTAAAGCATTCTACTTCAACAATGTGGATCTACTGGCTATATTTTCCCCATGTAACAAGGCATGAGAACTGCTAGTAACCAAGCCCAACATCAATGAAACACTGAACAAATGCCAATAATTGTCAACAGATGCCTTTTTTAATCTGAGGGAGGAGAACATGTTTTATAATGAGAGCTCAAGAGCCCTGAAGTGATACCATGATTGTTGCAAAACCAGACTGGGAGCCAGGAAGCACTTCAGCTTAATTTCTGATAACAAAGCCTGTGACCTCCTGCCTGTTTGGTCTATGACAGTAATCGGAAGCAGGGTTTTATTCATTTTTTCTTTTCTTTTTGGTTTTGTTTCATGAACTGGGAAGCCCTATTTTAGCTCTTCAAGCAGTTAAGCTTTAAAGCCAGTTTTCCTATCCTTTTTGTGTATGTGTAGAGTAAACTGCCAGTTCACACTGCCAGAAGCTTAAGCTTCTGTTGTTCTTGACACTTTTATTTCTCCTCCATTTCTGACTAACAGAGATACTTATCTTGACGATGAGCCTGCTTTTATTTTATTTTTTTATAGTTTTGTCATCATTGTTAATGAATTCAGCATAAAGAAAGAGGTGGATCAAATAAACTTACTATGCTATTTTGACAGGAAATCTATATGTGTGTGTGGGTGGATAGGGAGTTCTGGGGATTGAAGCCAGGGCCTTGCACTTGCAAAGCACCCACTCTATAGTGAGTCACTACTGTGGGCCCTTCATGTATATTTTTTATCTTAGATTTCCAATTGGTTCCTATAGTCTTTGTTTTTAGTAAAACATAAACTATGAATTCATTTAAAATAACTGCCTAGTCATTAAAAAGCATTTTCATATATTATCATTTATTTCAAACATGAAATATGAATTTACATTACTTACCAATACTATGAAACTGCCATCGCTGATGAATTCTTTCTGGAAGAAGTTGCAAAATTTTCTAAAAATCAATATGAACAAAATGAAAGAGTGAAAAGCAAGTAATAAGTCCACATCTATGAAATGCAAAATGTTAAGGAAAGGGATAAGACCTCTAAGACTTTCCTATGTAAAAGAGAAAGTGTGAAATTAATCAAAGTACATTATATGCATGTATGGAAATATCACAATGAAATTCCTTTGTATGATTAAAATCCACTAATAAAATTTTTAAAAAATAGAACTTAGTTACAAGAAGAAAACAAGATGGAGTAGAGCACCTGCCTAGCAAGCACCAGGCCCTGAGTTCAAACTCCAGTACCACACACAAAAAAAGTTTCTTATGAAAATGATAGTATAGAAATTCAAAATATTCTTTGAGCAAATCTGATAGTGCTGGTATCATTTCAGGACTTCATGCGCATCAATATCAGAAAATCCCTGAATACAAAAAAGCAGTACTAACAAAGTCTTGGAACAGATTAGTGAAATTTACAATTCTATAGAAAATAAGTATATTTCTTCCCAATGATTAATTACTGATTCTAACATATTTCAAAATGCTTATTTACTATTCCTAGAATTTCCACATTGTGGATAACACTGAGTTTTTAATTCCTTTTTTTGGGGTGGAGGGAAGGTGGAAGGCAGTAAGGAGGTCTGAACTCAGGGCCTCGTGTTTGCTAGGCAGATGTTCTACCACTTGAGCCATATCCAGCCCTTTTGCTTTAGTTATTTTTCAGACAGGGTCTCGTGTCTTTTGCCTCAGACTGTAGTCATCCTACCTATACCTCCCTCATGCTAGGAGAGCAAGTGGGTCCCCATACCTGGCTTGTTAAGAGGAGGTCTCTTTAACCTTTTGCTGGGCTGGCTTCAAATTGCAATCTTCTTGAACGTTGCATCCCTGTAGCTTGGATTACAATCATGAGCCACCATACTCAGCCTGAGTTTACAATTCTTTAATACATTAATATTTCTGGCATTTTCTCTTTGTGTTTTACTGTTTCATTAAACCTAGGGTGTATTTTGATTCATGAAAATCTCATCAAATATTTGAACTGAGCTGGGAGTGTAGTTCAGGGGTAGAGTGCATGTTTAGCATGTTTGAAGCCCTAGTATCAATACTGAAGCACCAAAAACTAAAAAAAATAGTAACTTGTACCAAGTTAATTCATGTGAACCCAGAAGTACTTAGATGTCAAGATGGATACTGTTATAAAGACAAAATTTTAAAATTTTCGAGCCCTATAGTTAAAGTGACATATACTGGTTTCTATTTATTTGGAATACATACTTTATATATAAAAACTTCAAAATTATCCCTCTTATTATATTTGCATGGATTAATCTAGACCAACAGCTATCATACTGCTAAACCATGCTCTCAGTAATCACTTTCTTGCTTAATAACATGTATGTTTGTTATTATTGCTGCTCTTATAACTATTATTTAGCAATATCATTTATTTAGTGATATTTATTTATTTATCTATTTTGCAGTACTGGGGATTAAACCCAAGGCTTCATGCATGCTAGGCAAGCACTCTACCACATGAGCCATGTCGCCAGCCCTCATCATCATTTACTAAATGCTCATAAGAGTCAAGTATTAGACATTTTCTAATGTTATCTCATTAATCCTTGCAATCACCCCAAAAGGAGGGCTTATTAATCTCACTTATCAATGAGGAAATGGGTTAAGTAGTGTGTGTAGGTTAGAAAGCCAGTAAATGAAAGAACAGAAATTCCAACCTCGGAATGCCTATTTCCAAACCTATGCTTTTACACTATTCTGATTAAAGGATGGCAGGCATTTTTTATATTTATCTGTCTTCCTTTAAATATGATCTTTAGTCCAGTCCATATAAAATAATGATAATATAAAGTTCAGATAAATGCTGATCCCACATAAGATATATAAACTTTTATACCTTTGCCTTCCTTGTGGGTCTCTCACAACTAAACAACTGCAAAATTACATTTATTTTGATGAAAAGAGAGAAAATTACAGAAAAGTTGAAAGACAAGTTTGTACATTACTTAAAAGCATTCCTAAATTACAACAAATTATACTTCAGATTTAACCCCTTTATTTATTTATATTTGAGACAGGGTCTCACTATGTATCTCAAACTCATTATCTTCCTATCTCAGTCTGATGAGTTCTGTGATTACAGGTGTGTATTAACACACCCAGTTCATTCCATTTTATTTTTAATGTGGTTAATAGAAATGGTAAGAAATTATATGTGTCCTTCACTAAAGAAAAAAACAATATAAGTTTCGACCCATATTAACATCGTTATATAATCGTGCTTTTTAACTAGAAAGAAATGTTACTTTATGATTTCCCGAAGATTTTTCTTCATTTGTCTCTAAACATAGAGATCAACACATTATTATCTCAATATAAGAAGAAAACATCAACACAAAGGTTAAATGGTTTTTCTCAAAAGATGAAAACCCTAGGGCTGGAGGTATAGCTCGGTGCCCAGTGGTAGAATGTGGTTAGCATGTGCAGTGCCCTTCATTCAATCCCTAGCACAAGAGAGACAGACAGACAGTCAGAGAGGGACGAGAGAGAGAGAAGGAGGGAAGGAAGGAAGGAAACCCTGAACACCCATCTTTTTTCTAGTGAAATTTAGCTAATTAAAGACATGGTGTCACATCTGTAACCCCAGCACTTAGGAAACAAAGGCAGAAGGATCACAAGTTTGAGGCCATCCAGACTACATAAAGACCATACCTCAAAAAAAAAAAAAAGTTTTTCTATTAAGATTAACAAATAAGGCCAGGTGTTGGTGGCTCACAACTGTAATCCTAGCTACTCAGGAGGCAGAGATCAGGAGGATCACAGTTCAGAGCCACTCCGGACAAATACCTCAAGAGACCCTACATTGAAAAACCCTTCACAAAAAATAGGGCTGGTGGAGTGGCTCAAGGTGAAGGCTCTGAGTTCAAGCCCCAGTACTGCACAAAAAAAAAAAAAATTAACAAATAAGTATATATTACATATAGGAAAACTTTTGGGGGAGCAGTACTAGAATTTGAATTCAAGGTCTTGAGTTTGCTAGGCTATTCTACTTGAGCACACTCCTAGACCTTTTTTGCTTTAGTTATTTTTTGGATAGGGTCTTGAGTTGTTTATTTTTGCCTAGAGTCAGCCTCGGACCTCAATCCTCCAACCTACTTGTGTGCCACCACATCCAACTTGTTTGTTGAGATGGATCTCACTCACTTTTTGCTCTGGCTGACCTCAAACTGCAATCCTTCCAATCTTGTATCCTGAGTAGCTAGCATTACAGGCATATGCCACCACACCCAACCAGGAATATTCTGAAAGGATTTCTATTAACTAATCAGTCATCTTAGTTTCCTGATTATAAGGCAATCATAAACATTTGAAGGAATACCTTCCAGGAGTCATACCTTGCTTTCTTTAGGGATACTTCATTTTTTTTCATTCTTATTAAGACCTTTATTAACAGGTGCTTGCAGTTTGTGTAACTTTTTGAAAAAAATCAAGTTGTAAACTTTTATTACAAATTAAAAATAAAGTTCTTAAAAATGTCAACTTGACCAGACATGAAACAATTTAAAAAACCTTTAAAGGTGTATTGAGGAAAATTAGGCTTTTTTTTAAAAAAAAGCATTTGTCATTAAAAGAGACATCTTTAGGTTAAAAATAACAAAAACCCCATGCTGCATAGCTAATACAAATACTTCTATGTATCTGGTTCAAGGGGCAAGAGCCAAGCACTTAATTGAAGTCTTCAGCATAATCTTTTGTTGATTTTTTTAATCCATAGAATTTCCCTTTCATTTCATCTTGTTGAATGACTAAATAGGATGAGAGTAGAAAGGGTAAGATGGCATTTACTCAGTCCAGCCCTACTCAGCCAAGCACTGCTCAGTCTCTGGAGCAGACGAATTTTCAACTGGTGGACCACCTGCTTTTGTATTTTTGCCCTCTTGTGGATTAGTGTTTTCTGGGCATCTGTGTCAGTAAGTTAAGTCTCAAGGATGCCGATGTTGAGGTAGTTGCTGACTTCGGGTCTCATCTCCTTGATTTTTCTTATCCTCATTGCTATCATCTCTAGGCTGTCTTTGCCAAGGAGGGCTGCTGCAGAATCATGGTTCATACATATTCTGTCTCACTGGTCTACATTGTTTTTCCTGCACTCTCTTATTACTTCTCCCTGCACAGAAGGGTTGCAATACTGTGGTCCACACATGTAGAGTCTCTGCATATATTAAGGTGGGAAACTTTGTCTGCAGAAGGTCCAGCCAGCCAGCATTACTAGGGCTGGCTTTTCGAAAGTGCTTTCTGATCCCTTATTCTTTTCTTCCTATTCTGGTAATCCTCCTAGTAATTGCAGAAAGGACCCCAGGCCATGAATAGTACCTATGATGGTTATGGTGTGCTGCATATTTACTGCCTTGAACTGGAACTCCACCAGGCCTAACATTTGTTGCTTCCACACCCTTTTTTCCTCCAACAGCAAAATCCTTAGTCTATCTCCTACACTGTGAAGGTACTTCCTGGAATTAGTCTTCTTTACAGTAGTCTGGTATACAAAGACATGTTTCTTGGTGTCATTCCTGTTGATGAAACAATATCCATTTCTTACATTGACCATTTTACTGCTCCTAAAACCTTTGTTGCGATGACCTTCTTGCGTGGCAGGCAAGGATGGGGAAGTGGAGGCTAGGTGTCAGCTTTACTCCTCACTTCTTATGGTTGCCATGATGGTGACCAGGGCCAGCTGCAGCAGCTTCCAGGGTGATGGTTACTAGGCAGGCAATGGCAGCAGCATTATGGCAGCTCAGGGTTCTCTGAGGTCCACTCTCCACTCTGCTACCCATCCAACTCAGTTACTTCTATTCTTTCTCAAAACATCTGTTCCACTATTCCCTTTATGAATAGTTCATGTAACCACTTGGGATGGTTTATTTTCCACTTGGAGTGGTAAATAAAGTCAAGATACACATATGTGACTAATGAAAATTAATTTCAGGATGACATCAGTTACTGCTGTCTGGAGTGTTTTTAAGGTTGGTTCTGGCTATGTAGCCCAGGCTGGTCTAGAACTAGAAATCCTCCTGCCTCTGCCTCCCAAGTGCGAGGGATTATAAACCTACACCACCACTCCCAGGGTTTGTTTTTTGTTGTTGTTTGTTTATTTGTTTTAAGAGACAGAATCTTCCTGTGTTGGTTGTCCAGGCTGCTCACAAACTCATGGGCTCTACTGAACCTCCTTCAGCTTCCTGGGTAGCTGTGACTACAGGTACACACAATCATGCCTGGTGAGAAACTGATAGTTAAAGTCTTTCCTATGGTTTTCAAGCCACAAGGTATAGTCCTGGCTTTCCACAAGTCTCTAAATACTCAATAGAGATCAGAACACTCCTATGAGTATTTACTTTAGCAGAACATCAAAGTTTGTTTATCTACCTCTACACTACGTTTCCTTCTGACTTTTTATAAACACTTGCCCCCCTTCAACTCAAAGTAATATAAAACACTTTAAAACACTTAAGACTATTTTGTACCAATTTATAGTGAAAAGCTATTAAAGCAGAACAGGTAAATCTCCTATGCCTATAAAAGTAACAGTTTTAGAATTAAAAAAAAATTCTATGTAAACCTTGTGCAAATAAAATTTTCACTTTTTCAAGCACACTGAATAGCACATTAATTTTGTTGCATCAAATGCCTACAACATAACTCTATCATACCTAAAAATAATACATTGTAAAACACACACATCAAAAAAAAAACAAAACCCAGAAATTCAATCACGTGTATGTTTATGCTAAAAAATTAAATTTAACTATAAAAAAGGTTAGTAGTAGTGGGCTGGAGGGGTGGCTCAAGTGGTATAGAGTCTGCCTTACAAGTGCAAAGTCCTGAGTTCAAACTTGAGTACCACAAAAAAAAAAAAAGCTGGTAGATTCAGTTTCATTTTATGCTTAATAATTTCAACATATTCCTTTATATGTTTCCAGAATTACTTTTCAAAAAAATTTAAAAGTTAAAAAGTTAAAAGTTAAAATTTATAATTTAAAAGTTAAAGCACTTACCTCAAAAATAAAAAGTATAGCATCCAGCTCCTCTCTTTGAGATTTGTGACCTAAAATATTTTATAGGACAGTATTAAAAATCATTATTAACAATCACTTAATGAGCTTAAATACTTCAAGCACTGAAGGGTTTTATTTCCCAGCGATTCCTGAGAAGAATGTTAAAGCACAGTCTATTTACTATATTGACAGTATTAGAGTACCTCTCTCTACTCTTGTGAATAAATTCAGGTTCTAGGGCTGGGGATGTGGCTCAGTGGTAGAGCATGTGCTTAGCATGCACAAGGACCTATGTTCAACCCCCAACACAAACACAAAAATTTACGTTCTACATATGTATGTCTTAAAAACAAGTTGTGATATATTGTGGAGAACTTTAAATGAACTCTGAATATAGAAATATGAAAAAGGCTACTCAAACATGCCTAGGGCAGAACAAAGAAAATGGGAACAGGAAACATAAACCTGAACAGGGTAAAAAAGCAAAGCTTCTGAGCCTTCA